AGCGGTTTGGGGTGGGCTGAGGATGCTGTTAGCAGTCAGCTGCTAAGGACCTCCTCAGCAAGGATGTAATTTTCAGGAATCAAAGCCAGCCAAAAAGCAGGGACCTCCTCGTGGCGGAGGGGTGGCAGGGCAAACTTTTGGCTCCTTACAGGACTCAACTCCTTGCGACGTGCTCCTCCTTGGAGCTCTGTCCATCCAGCTCACACCCTTAGCTTGATCTTCCTAGGGCAGCTTGGAGAAGGCCAGTTGCAGTGAGTTCATGCCTCTATCAGCTTGGCTTTTGAGGAGCTCATCGGGGCAGGATGCCTGTAGCAAACAAAGCAGCTTTCATTGCTGTTGCCTGGGCTGGAGGAAAGCTTCTAGGTCAGGACTGAGTCCTATCCCCAAAAGTTTGAAGCACCCAGTAGTGTGAACATGTTCACCTAATGCTGCCCTGTGCCTTTCGTGACTTTGGGCTATGTTGGAAGTCCCGACCAGATGTGGAGAGGAGCCATGAGGCTGCTCCAGCGGCTGGGCTATGGTAGTGGTGTTTGGGGTTATACCCTCATTCGAAAGAGAAGGTCCTTCCCTCCTTCCTCTCCTGTCCTGTAACAGGAAGAGGGAAAACATTCAGGAGTTTGTAGCCATTAAGTGAAAATTGTAAAAAGCCTCCCAGGGGGATTTTTCTTGGCTCAAGTTCTTATTTAACAAATGTTCTCCCACAGGCTGTGTTGTAGGTGCTCTCACTCTGGAACAGCTCTAAACATATGCAAAACAAATGGATTTATTCAGAGGTGGGGGGATACGGCTTTTTCTTGCTGCCTCCTGATTTTGCAGGTTTTATAAGGCTTCACAGCTCCCCAGGTGTGGAGGAAGAGACCTCAGAGGTGGTGGGGTGTGTGACTGCTGGCTCCTGTGATGGGGGCCAGGGATGCCAGAAACTCCCCTCCTGCAATTTGCTGGGGCAGTTATCTTGCTCAGCCTTTAGTCAAGGGCTCTCTGCTCACCTGGCTGCAGAAAAGCTCTGGTTTAATTGGCACCTCGAGAGCGGGTGCTTGTGCCTTGCCAGGAAACATTAAATGCGATTTCTGTGAATGCTGGGCAGAGCTCTGCAGGTGCTGTCACCCAAGTGCTCCCAGGTCTGCAGCATCCTGGCCTGGGGGAGAGGGTTTTTAGAGGGATCTGTTGTGGAGCTGAGGGGTAACAGCCCTCACATGAGCAACCGTTCTGGGGCGAGTGCCCTCATGGCACAGGGCAGCTTTTACTCCCTGAATGCGAGGCTCTGCAAGATAGTGAGGGAGAGCATGTAGGCAGCCAGGCAATGCCGGGGTGGTGTGTGGGAACCTGGGAGGCTTCTAGTTGCTGCATGTGAGGAAATGGGAGAAACCTCTTCCTCTGGAGCTGCTCCACCATCCTGGCAGGGAGGCGGCTTCTCTGTTCCAGGCCTTGTTCCCCATAGGCACCGAGTCCAGAGCTGAGGAGCTGGGTGCGCTGATAACAAGACTCAAGTCCTACAAATCCTTTTGGCTTCTTTGTGCCCTTAGTTTGGAGAACTTGATGGGGCCCTTCTGGTTTAGTTACACATGAAACAAAAGTTCTGCTGATTCCCAGATGGAAGCTGGTTTAACGTGTGGAGCCTGATGGCTTTTCCGTGTCGCGGTGCCATGCCTGCGTCTGGCTGGGCGTTCCTGGGGCCCTCTGCAAAGAGTTTCTCCACTTCATGCTGCTTCAGCAGCTGTGCAGCTGCAGAAAGCACTTGCTGTGGCCTCTTGCAGTAGGGTTGATTTTGGGAGTAGTCCATCTTGTTTCCTTCCCCCTGGCTCCTTCCAGATTGTCGCCATCCTGAGCTTTGTAGCAACCTCTTTTGTGGAAGCGGGAAGTGTTTCCCCATGGTGGATATCACCCTGTTCCTGTGGGACTTTCAGCCTTCCCTTGCTCTGGTCTCCAGCTCGCTGTTCTGCCCTGGTTTTGCCCAGGGTGACACCACCTGTGCAGATCTCTTCCCTTCTCCCCACTGCTGTTTAATTTTTCCAGCGTGAGTTCTGGGAACAGAGGTTGAAACAGGAAAATGGAATTCTTTTTGCATGACTCCTCATGTAATGGGAATCATATCAGTGGCCTCACCTCCTTGTGGTGGCAGGGTTTCTGTAACTAAATGTTAGGCTTGTAACGCTAACTGGAGGAAAATCCAATTTGCAGCTCAGAATGCATGCTTTCTGGCCAATTAACTGAGTTCGGCACTGTTAGGGATTTCTCTTCCTGTCTGGCTTTGTCAGGAAACATAGATTTTTGTCAATTCCTTTCTAACACAGGCCTCTCAGGTTGCATTATGGGGAAAAATAGCCCCGTGCATGAACAAACTGACCATCTTTTAATGTGATCACATCCTTTGTTCCTATTTCTAGAACATGGGGGCCTTCTAGGAAACTACAGCTTATTCCTGCAGCCTTTAACATCTTGGCCCCTCTGAAATGCAGGTCATTGAGGGAACGCACTGGTTTGTGCCAGGCAGCCTTGGTGGAGCTGACTGCAAAGCCCTCATGCGGGGGAGCCAGTCTTGAGGGCGAGCTTGGCGTTTCCTCCTCGGGCGTCCCTTCATCCTGAAGCATCGCTCAGCTGCAGATCGCAGGCACAACCTTCGTGCTGTGGGCTAGAGCTGCCGCTCCAGTGTACCATCAACACGCTCAGCCCTGCTCGCACCCAGCGTGTCATTGGCACACCTCCAAGCACAACCGTGGTGAAAGCAGGCCTGTTTTGAGGGTGTCGTCATGCTTGTCTGCTTCCTGTCTGGCCACCAGTTCTTTGGTAGCAAGTCCGAGGGCTGCTGGGTCTGCGTGATCTCCTCTCCATCCAGCACATGGCAGAGCCGGGAGGCTTTGATGGCATTGCTTTTGGCTATATCTGTGGTGATAGACCCATTACTGTGGTTAGATGAAGACGGCAGATGCTTAAAATCTGTAGATTTTTTCAACTTGGCTCTGGTATTGGGGTAAAAACAACTAAAGATTGGAAAAGATGGGGTGGTTTCCCTGTTAACAGGGACCTCTCCCATGTTTCCAGTTCGCATCTCCTCTGTGTTGCACCTGGGAACCAGTGTGGAGGGGCTGCAGGAGGGAAAGGTGTGGCCCCTGCCTGCCACGCTCTTGTGACTATGGCTTTGTCTTCTCTGAAGCGATGCCCCATGTGCCCCAGTGGCACACAGTACAGAGGTGTTTAACTGGAGCTTGCCGCAGCTGGCACAGGTGGTGGCTTGTGCTGAGTGTTAAGTGGCTGCCAGAGGGGACTCTGGGTTCTGTTGGGATGAGCTGGTGCTGCTGTTGGGTGGAGGGAGGCTTTTAATCCTATGTTTTGGGAGGCGAACAGGGATTGACCTATGTGGCATGCTCTGTTAACTAAATACAATGGCTCAATTGCTTGGGGAGATGGTTGGAAACATGCAACCATCTCTTCAAAGCTTGTTATATCAGGCAAGAGGGCAGAGATGCAACTCAAGCTGTCAGAGATGCCATCTGCTTTGCTTACTCTGACTTGAACGGTTGGCTCTCAAAGCAGTCTGGTATGCTTTGCTAACCAGACTGTCTGCTTCTTTCCCAGGTGTGCTGGCCATCCTCATCCCACGCCTGGACATCGTTATCTCACTGGTGGGCTCTGTGAGCAGCAGCGCACTGGCTCTGATCTTCCCCCCGCTCCTGGAGATTGCCACCTACTACACTGAAGGAATGCACCCCCTTGTCATCATCAAGGATGTTGTGATCAGCCTTTTTGGTTTTGTGGGCTTTGTGGTTGGAACCTATGAGGCGCTGGTGGAGCTGGCTACTCCCTCCATGGTTGTGAATGCCACCAGCATCTTGGTGCAGTGATGGCCCTCCTGCCCCATGCACCTCTCTGAAAGCTGTGCTGGAGCCTGGTAGCACGCTGGGGCTGGGCATTGCTGCTTTCCTAGGGACGTTCTCCTCTCTCTCCTTGTAAAATGTGGTTATTTTGGCCTATGTGAATGAGGCTGAGCTGGTGACGAGAGGATAAGCCTCTCACACTCCCCACCCATCACTGCCACCCATCTCGAGTGGCAGCAGGGTCTCCATGCTGGTTTCTAGAGCCAGGGGAGGTGAAGTCTGGCCTGTGGCTGGGGTATTGCCTTCCTCAGGGACTTTTCTGGCAGGGGAGATAGCAAAACAGGCCCCCTTGGCACCCATGTAAACAGAGTCACTTTGAGGGGTGAGGAATCCAGGAAATCTAGATTTTACTTTTATTTTTTTTTAGTTCCAACCTTCCCATATTCCCCACTTTCTTTCAGCAGAGGTAGGGAACAAGGACTGCTTTTCTCTGTGCCATTTTTTTTTTCTTTCCTCCTACATCAGCACTTTATTTGATGGCAACAGAGAAACTTCAGCTCAGGTTGGAGAGCATGGAGTTGCCTCCTCCCTCTGCCCCTGTGGGCAGGGAGAGCAGTGCCTGAGGTGTGGAGTGTCCTGGGGACAAGGAGAGCAGGTCACCCCTGGGTGGGTGTGGGTCCCATGTCTCCTGGATGCGAGAGGCACCCCTAGCTCTCCTGCAACTGGAGATCCCAGGACATGGGCATTGCATTTGGCAGCTCCGTGCCTTTGGGCACTTGTCAGCCTCAGTGCCGGGAGTGTTGCACCTCTGCTTCCGGCTGTCTCTAGCATTGTGCAAGCCATAATGCAGGGCAGACTGCCGGAGCCTTAGGGCTGGGCATGGCAGCTCTGAGACTGAGCAGCACGGCTTGCTAAACCCTGGCCCACAGCTTTAGTAGTGACTTCTCTCCCCTCTAGATCATGTATCTGATGAATGTTTTTCCTGAAGCGTTTGCACGACTCGGAGGGACCAAACCGGGCATGGGACTCTGAAACAGCGAGCGAGTTGGTTATCTTCAGCTAGGAGCCCTCTCTGTGCCGTTGTGCTCTGCTGTGTGGGACAGTGGTGTTCCCAGGAGGTCACTGCTGTGCTAGGCCTCTGCATGGAAATACGCCTTGTTTACAGTCCCTGAGCTAGCCTAGCACCTCTCTGGCTGTACTTGCAGTCTCATTGCCGAATACTAAATCATGAAAAGGAGACCAGGTCCTTCCCCCTCCTCCTGGTCCTGCTCACTTCCTGAAAACACCCTCTACCTCTGATGCAGCTTCATGTCTTCTGTTAGGAGGCAGCTCTCTTTTGGCACGTCTCTTGTTGCCCCTCTTGCTTCTCGCATTGTCACTGCTGTGTGTTGCAGAGGGGCAGGCCCTTCCTGAGGGCTGAGCCAGTGCTGTGGCCCCACTAGGCTGCTGCTTTCCTCTTTGGGGAAGAGGAGGCCAAAGGCATAGACAAGCAAAGCCGCTGTAGTTAGGGAGAGAGATTACTCAGCGCCCTGCAAACTGCTGGACTTTGTGCACCAGCATCCAGTGACGTGGAGTCACTGCTGTCTTAGCTAGTCCTGGCCAGTTCTGAACACAGCAGTTCCCTGCAACTTATTTACTTCAATTTCTTGCACAAAAATCCCCATGCTGGGGACTGGGCTGCTGCTGGTGTCAAATGCTGCCCCTGCTATCCTTCAGGGGCTCCCTGGGCACCCTTGCTCTGAGCACAGTTCCTGTATTTCTGTTCTCCTTTACCCTTCTGCTGGAGTTTTTTGCGACAGGCAGATGAGAGCAAATGCATTCTCCGTAGGATGTTTTTTTCCTAGCAGTGCAAAAATATTTTGGCTTCAGGAGGGGATGGATGCTAAGGATGAGCTGTGGCCAAGAGAAGCATCCCCTGCAGCTCATCTCCTCACCAGGTGATAACTCAGTGACTTGCCCTGCTGCCTGAGACCTGCTTCCCATTTGCTCACTCTGGCTTCAGCCAGCTGCTGCTGTGCGAGTCTGTGGGGCTGCTGACTTCTGCAGGCTTTGTCAGCAGTCATCTGGGTAGGTAGCTCAGCTGCTCCAAAAGCTTTTTTTCGTTTTATTTTTGTTTTGTTTATGGTCCTTCACCTGCTTCCTATTCTCTCGGGGCTCCTGTAGCCACAAAGCTCATCCTGTTTCCTCTAAATCTATTCTGGTGAAGATTTCAGCCCGCTCCCGTGTTGCTGGGTCACAGTGACAGGGAACCTCTAAGACAAATCCTCAATGTGGCGGGTCACCTTGGGGGGTGACAGCAAGGACCTGGGTCTTGCAGCAGGCAAGGCCAGGCAGAGGGCTAGGAGGGAGCTCTAGCACACACTACGTCCCAAACAAGTGCAATATTAAGACCATCTCTGCACATTGTCTCTGGGAGGCTTTGCCTGTTCCTGGCCAGGTGTCAGAGCCTGGCTCAGTTGCTTCATGGTGCGGCCGATGAGGTGAGATACAGATTTGCACTCCAGAATGACTTTGCGTTAGAGCCTCAGAGACCTCCTAGGCTCAATGGTTCATAGCGGAAAACTGGCTGTGATGATGGGTACCTGCTCTAAGGCTCCTTGATGCACTGGTGACCTGTCCCCCACTGTCCTTCCACATGCACGTGCTGCCCAAGCTGTCAGCCTGGGAATTTATTGCTTTGGTGAAAGGATTGGCTTAAGCCAGTGCTGGAGGGAGCACACTAAATCACTTGCATTTACTGGGTGGCACATGCTGAACGCTGGGAGCTGCACTGCTTCGTTTTCAGGATTCCTGGCTGGATACGTAGCGTCCCGACTTACTGTGCAAGCGCCAGCAAAGACCTCGCTTCTGCGGAGGCTGTGGAATATCACAGGAGCATTAAATGGTTTGTGAGGTACTTCAATTTATCATGCTGAAGGGAAGAAGTGATGAGTAGGGAGTGCTTGGAAATGGGGGCTAGCAGCCTTGGTGGGACTGAGGAGCTCTGGGACTGAGCTGCAAGGGCCTGATGCGGGACTGGGTGAATGGAAAAACTTGCACTTGTGTGTTGTTGGCTGCGCTCTAACCAAGGAAATTGTGTAGATATAGAAATGATTAATGTACATGTCTTGTGCCTATGGATATTGTCAGGGTACAGCATGTGTAGCTGCCCAGTGGAAGAACCCGTCTCTGGTGCTGTACCTGATTCGTATATCTTCAATCAATAAATAATATCTATTTTTTATGTGAAAACGCTCTGCGATGTGAGGTGGGAGGTTCTGTTACAAGTGGCATGTGTAAAACCACCCTCTCCTTCACAGAAAAGTATAACGTACTGGAGGAGTGTTGAGCCCTCAGTCCTTTGTGCAGATTCTCTGAACATGTGGGAGTTTCACCAGCCTCCAAGCTCTTTGGCTCCCACGGACACCTGGACAGTGCATGCTCTATTGGCATGTCTTTAGCAGAGGGACAGAAAATGAGTCTTGAATGAAACCAGACTGTCTGCACGGCTGGCCCCTGCACAAGGGAGCTCCCTGCGCTTTTCCCACCCCTGTGCCAGGTTGAGATGCTTTCCACTGAGGGTTTCAAAATAAAAGTGCTTCAGCCTTGCTGCTCTTAAAAGTTTTTGAACAGGTTTGTGCAAGTAGGTTGTGGTCAGAGCGATGACTGCATGATTACCTTTATGAGCTCACAGCCTGGGAGAGCGGGCTTGGGTTTTGTCTCTGCCGTGGCATGTGGCCGGGACGGGGCTTTTGGGACGGTGCAAGGGATCTGGGAAGCCTCTCTCCGTGTGGCATGTGCATATGGTTGCAATGTGGTGGCTACATAGTTGCTGCAGATGCACCCAATGGATCAAAGGAGGTGAGATCTAGCCCATGCTCCGATAGGATGTCTGGGAGCTGTGCCAGCATCGCTGTAGCTGGGATTGTTCCCATGGCACTGAATAATTCATGCTCTTGCAGTGTGTCTTTACAGAATCACAGAATGGTTTAGGTTGGAAGGGACCTCTGGAGATCATCTAGTCCAACCTCCTTCCTCAAGTAGGGTCCTCTAGAGCATATTTCCCAGGATTGCGTCCAGAGGGGTTTTGAATATCTCCAGCGAAGGAGACTCCACTACCTCTCTGGGCAACCTGTGCCAGTGCTCAGTCCCCCTCACAGTGAAGAAGTTTTTCCTCGGGTTCAGATGGAACTGCCTGTGGTTCAGTTTGTGCCCGTTGCCTCTTGTCCGGTCGCTGGGCACCACGGAGAAGAGGCTGGCCTCATTTTCTCGACCCTCTCCCTTCAGATACTTGTACACGTTGATGAGATCGCCTCTCAGTCTTCTCGTCTCCAGGCTAAACAGGCCCAGCTCTCGCAGCCTTTCTTCCTAGGAGAGATGCTCCAGTCCCCTCATCATCTTTGTAGCCCTCCGCTGGACTCTCTCCACTAGTGCCTTGTCTCTCTTGTCCTGGGGAGCCCAGAACTGGACACAGTACTCCAGGGGAGGCCTCAGCAGGGCTGAGTAGAGGGGCAGGATCCCCTCCCTCGACCTGCTGGCAACACTCTGCCTAATGCACCCCAGGGTACCCTTGGCCTTCTTGGCCACAGGGGCACACTGCTGGCTCCTGCTTAACTGGTTGTCCACCAGGACTCGCAGGTCCTTCTCTGGAGAGCTGCTTTCCAGCAGGTCAACCCCCAATCTGTACTGGTGCGTGGGGTTATTCCTCCCCAGGTGCAGGACCCTGGACTTGCCTTTGTGGAACTTCAGGAGGTTCCTCTCCGCCCAGCTCTCCAGCCTGTGCAGGTCCCTCTGAATGGCAGCACAGCCTTCTGGTGTGTCAGCCGCTCCCCCCAGTTTTGGATCATCAGCAAACTTGCTGAGGGTGCGCTCTGTCCCTTCCTCCAGGTCATTGATGAATAAGTTAAACAAGACTGGACCCAGCACTGACCTCAGGGGACACCACCAGCTACAGCCCTCCAACTAGACTCTTTGCCACTGACCACAACCCTCGGAGCTCTGCCATCCAGCCAGTTCTCAAGCCACCTCACTTTATCAGGGCCATGTGGGAAATTAATGCTAAAAAAGTTAACTCTTAAAGATGTGGATCCCAAGTGGAGAAGTCCCCCTAAAGTACAAAAACTGATGGGGTTTCCAGAGGGGGATCTAAGACCACCTTAACCCCAGGGCATGAGGAGCAGCCAACTGAGTACAGGCAACTCATGGTTATTGTGGGGGTATTTCTGACTGCAGTGAATTACTGCAGCTGCAGCCAGGAGCCCTGATTAGGGCAGAAGAGAAGGGTGCTGAGGAGCAGCCTTAAACAACAGTGTTGACCTCTCAATGGGTGTTTCAGCAGTTTTTAAACACCTTTCCTTTGGGTATTTTAAACAGCTATTGCTTCTCCTGCAAATGAAGTCACGGTGCTGAGGTGGGGAGTGGGGCTCCAGCACCCTTCAGGGCACAGAGAAGGGAAGCGGGTTTGCACTGCCATGCATGACAGCATTCCCTGAGCACCCTCTCTCCCTGTATGGGGCTCCTGGGGGGCCAGCACACCGACAACAGGGCTGCTGGTTTGAAAACCTGCAAATGACCTTTGGAGAACATAGCAGCTCTGGGCTTTTGTGGCTTGAATACTAAAGGGCTAATTTCACAGAGCAGCTGTGAAATACCTTTGCTGAGGCTGCCTGTTCCCATGAGTAACTTATCAAGGAGGCAGGAGGTGGGCACGGAGGTGCTCTCCTCTCCTCTGCTCTGCACCCCCAGTTTGATGAGACCCTGGCCAGGTGGCTTGGCACAGGGATGACTGCTGAAAATGCTGGAGAGCTAAGGCAGAAACTGGGCAGGAGATGGGGACTGGACAGCCACCAGGGACTCCTTCCCTCTGCGTTGTGAGTGCCCTGTCTCCATGTAAACCACTGTGCACAAGGGGTTAAGCTTGCTCCTGGCTGCTTTTAGAATTTCAGCTTTAATAAACCCAGTTTCTATTTGTTAAAAATAAACACAGGTAGTCACAGAGCTCACAAGTTGACCACCGGCCCGGCTTGGCAGCACGAGGAAAGCCAGGCTGTCTGTTAGCAGGTGCCAAAGGTGGCCCTGAGGGCTGGCTGCTCTGAGCAAAGTGCCCCCACCCTGCTTCAATTTGGGATTAGCCCCAGCTGTGGTGGGGTAACGGGGTTGCTGGGCCAGAGAGGAGGTCTGATCATGCCAAGTGGTGCTCATTCTGTGGCTGGGAGGTGGTTTGAGCAGGATGGAGGGCAGCGAGCCTTTCTCTTCTCAGTACCTCTACATGCTGAGTGTCCCTCGAGCCAGGCAGGTAGGAATGCGCTGAGGATGTTGTGGCATCCCTGGGGCCTTTTGGGAGTGGGGCAAGCCCCTCACCGCCTGGGGGGTTTGCAGCCCAGAGTGCTGTGACAGGATGAATGTTGTGCAGTTTGGTCGGGGGCTTAGAGTTTCGTGTTGTGCGATGCTTCAATGTGTTTTCCTGCACTGTTCATGCCCTGCCCAGAAGTGTCTGCATTTCTGGACCTGTTGCTGAGTAATATTTGTAAAGTGCTTTGGGGTTGTAGGGTAACTTAGGCTGGAAGGTGCCTTGGGAGGTCTTTAGTCCAACCTTCTCCAGCCTGAAAGCAACTCTTGAATAAGAAAAGCTCTTTTTGTTATCCCCCTTCCCCTGGGATCTCCCCTCTGTTTCTCCAAACATCCTAGAGATACCTGAAGGTAAAAATGCTGCTCACAAGGTAACATCATGGGATTGTGCCCTTCTAGGAGGAAGAGGTTGAGAGGGATTTAAGAGTTAAAATTAAGCAGCTAAAATATCTGCCCTAATCCAGGCAGGGAGTGATTTCTGATAAACAGAGCTGGCTATTAAAGAAAGATGGTGCATTGCCTTGCAAACCTTGTGTTAATGCCTTGGCCAGGCAGCTGAGGTGCTGACCGTTCTGGTTCCAGTTCCTGTCTTGGCTGAGGCCACCAGTAGGGCCGTCCAGTGAGATGGTCCCTGCGTGTCCCAGATGCAATTCCCCTTCTCTGATTTTGGCCCTAGGAGGGGATGTTTGTAGCAATTTTCTCATGGCTGCTGGTCAACTGAGCTGAGTGTCCCTACCAAATTTTCCAGATGAGCCTGAGGGCTGTTTGCTGGGTAGCTGTAATGGTGATGGCTTTGCTCCCACTTGGCTAGAGCAGGGAAGGCCCTGGTGAAAGGGGCCCTCGTTGAGGAGAGATGCTGACCAGACAGTGACGTGAGGGCAGTCCCCGGGTCAGCCTGCTTTGCCCTTTCCGGTTGGCACTTTTCAGACAGTTTGGGTCACTTCAAAGCTGCCGTTCTGTTTTAGTAAAAGAGTTTATCTGTGCCATTAAGGATGTGTATGTACCCAAGCTGCTGTCTGGCTCTCACTGGCTAGTTTGGGCTCTGCATGGTGTCACTGCCTGCAGGGCTCCCCCTCCCCTCGTGCTGTCCTTGCCCAGGGGTGGCTGTGTTTCCCAGCAGACAGAGCTATCTCTGTGCTCTGTAAAATGTTTTGGCATCCTTCAGCCTGAAAGCAACTCTCAGAACAACAACAAAAAAAGCTGTTCTTAGTATCCCAGTCCCCCTCTGTTTCTTTAAATAGTCACACCAACCACTGAAGGCCCATGAAGTTGAGGGTGGGCTTATTTTTAGCACAGGTAAGATGTTTTTGAGGTTTTGACAGTAGTAAATGGAAGATACAATGATTTCCATGGTGTCTGAGAGTTGTGTCCTAGCCAAGAGGTGATAATTCCTAGCTGAGCGCTCAATGTCTTTGCATCAGGCAAATGGAGTAGTTATCAACATGAAACATTTCTACTGTTCTCAGATGTGGTTTTATAATGCATTGGGCTGGGAAAAGATAGTATGGGGAGACAGGCAGGAGCGATGTATGTGATGCAGATTTTTAATCAGAAAAGGCTGCAGGGGGTGAAGGAGCACAATGTCCATAGCGCAACTGTTTGAGGGGAAAACGCTTGGCTAATCCTACATGGGCATCTCACACCTCCCTGTGGTTTTGTCCTTTATTGCATATCATCCCTGAGTTCAGCGCCAATGTGTTCAGCAATCAAGTTGCAGCCGAAATGTTGAGGTTTGGGTCAGTCAGTGCTGGGAGAGTGTTTTTGGGTGTGAGTGTTGGTGGCACGTGTAATATGGATGTAGTTGGGTACAGGTGGGCTGTATGGGTGTAATGGGTATTTAAGACTTGGAGATGTCCCTTTGCTGGTTCCCAGGAGTGTTACCATGTGTCGGGGAGCTGGAGGCTTGGAAGGGTCCTTCTGAACCTCCCAGGCACAACCCTGGCACGTTCCTAGTGCTGCTGTGACAAAAATGAAATGAAAACATTTCATGAAATTGTTACTTTATTTGTGTCTGGGGAGAAGGAACGAAGAGGAGATTCACATGTCGTTCATTACCACTTTGCTCTTTTGATACAATGAATGAGGAAGAGGTAAAATGGGGCTGCTTGAATTTACAAAGAAGGTTGTCCCACCCTGTTGGCTGTAGGGGCTTGACTGCCCCCAGGAAGGGAACGTATCTTCTCCTTTGGCCAGAAGGAGATCCGGGAAATTTGAAATAAAGTAGGTGGTGTGCACCCATCTACTGCACTCAGCCAGTGATCCAAGGTTCCCAGATGATGATCTGATCTCACTATGGGCAGGAAATTGCATGATTTCCTCTCCTAGCCTGTGTGAGTGCTCTGAAGCGTTCCCACTTGTATTTCCAGTATTTTCTTTCAACAGCAGTATGATACAAATATCAGTCCATCCTGTGTGTCCATATTTGTGTCTATATGTACCAGCCCTCACTGTGGTGTGGTATACTGGCATCCCATAGGGCTATTGGATAACTGGGTCTTATACTAGGATTTCCGTGTTGCCATTTGAGCCATGGCTCTTGTTCAAGCAAAATGCATATGTTTCTGGCCAAAATGTGGCAAGGAATAGGTAAGAAGATGGTCTGTCCTGCACGTTTCTCAGAGGACTGTGGAAGAGATGTCTCACCCTTGCTAGGTGCTGCCACCAGCTGAGCGTGAGGCCTCATGTCATGCTGGGGCAGGTTGTCCCAGGGGTCAAGATGCCTTACAACCTCCTTTTCCCTTGTGATCACACTCTGCTGCAGGAGAAAGAATAGCAGAATCCACTATTAGAAAGCACCTTTTCCAAAACAACACTTGGATGTATTTGAAGGCCAGTTGTCACTTAGGCTCACTTGTGATTCCTGATCACAAAGTACATGCAAAAGGTTATTTAAAACTTGCCTTCCTTTGTGGCCCGGATGCAGGCACAAATATGACTTAGGTGGCCAGAGACAGAGGGAGGTGGGAATAAACAGTCCAAAGCATATGTGTGCTAAGAGGGAGAACAGCCTGACATATTTATCTCATGCAGTTGTTGCATATATAAGAAAACAAGTTTCTATTGCTGGGCAGCCCTCTGTTATCAGGAGGAAAGAGCCAGCATGTTCCACTCATCCCTCCTCCATTGTCCAGGGGTCTGTTGTGTCAATACCAATGCCTTATCACCATGTAACCAGGGGTCTGTGTGGGACTTGGACTTTTTCTTCTTTCCAAAGTATTGGCAGAGGTGAGGTTAAAGCAGGGAGCAGGGCCGTTCCGTGATCTCTTCAGGAGTGATTAGTCTTAATGCCTCACCCAAGGTTTGCCAGGTCTAGTCTCCTCTGAGCTTCAACTTGTACCAAATATAATTTCTATCATGCGGGTGGGGTTTATAAAGGCTTGTTAAGACTGTATATTCCTTCTCAACTTTGAATTTGCTCTGCTCCTGGTGGCTTCCTATCAGGTGTGTCTAAGTCTCCTAATGTCCTGTGAGGTTACTTCAGTGTCAGTTACTCGAGTGAACTTGACGTCCACAGAGGTTCAAGCATGACTTGAAAGAAGGAGAAACATGCGTATCATCTATGGTTCCGGGTAACCATGAGACTCTTATGAATTCATCTCTGGGAGTCTCTCTTGATGAGACTTTCAAAGGCACATTACTTCTTGAAGAAAATCCTTTCCCTCCTCTCAGCCCACTGCTGAATTCCTTTGGCACATTGGTTTAGTTTTATTTGCCAGTAATCTTATAGTCAATGAGAGTTTATTCCCAGAAACGCCAGAAGAAACTCATATGGTCAGAGATTTTTTTTAAAGTGCGTTACAAGTAAGGAAAGCCCAACTCAAGACACCAGGAAGAAGCAGAGCAGCTGTGATTCGTGTCATCCACTGTAGGCTTTTCTAAGAGCTCCTGGATCCGATGTGCTGGGTAGATTGGCTGACCTCTGCCATGACGGGATGCAGAAGTGATAATCACGATGCTGCTCTGGAGTTGCCTCCTTATACTCTCCTGTTCACGCTCGTTACTCTCCAGGGCAATCCTCACGTGGATGGACATTGGTATTCACGTGTGCAACTTGATTTCAGGAATCAGAAACCTGCCCAGTAGTGAGACAATAGCTGTGCCTATGTTCAAAAGAAATAACTTAGTGTAAAATATGTGGGGGTCTTATGCTCTTGACTGAGCGTCCACACATGCTCTTAAGTTCTGCTTGCAGACTTGATGAATAACAGAGAAATTAACATGGGGGAAAAAGTCCTGAAGGATCTAGGTGATTTGCTAAAGTGGTACCTTCCATAGATTGTTTATTCTGCCCTGTTTCCAGTGCCCTTTTCCAATTAAGCGCTATGAAGTGTGGAGGGACCTAAGCATTCCTGGTGTAGACCACGTTATGACAGAGATGCATCATTAGCTCCTTTAGCTCTAACTGCACTCTGTACATCACTTAAAAGGGAGGTAAAGGATTGGTCTATCTTTCTGTGTGCAGTTAGATCTAGTTTTCTTTCCCTCTAGACTCGGTCCTCTGGGTTCAGTTTCAGTCAGTCCTGTTTGCCAGCTGGAATACAGCCAGTATGATTCTCTTGTGCTCTTTCCTGAAGTTCTGGTTCATGGCCCTATAAATCACCGCATTCAGACAGCTGTTAAAATATGCAATGAAATAGCTGGAGGTGAAGAGCCATTCTGGGATGGAGGAATTCGAGGTAGGCTTCATTGTTACCACAAAGCCAATGAAGTTTGATGGTGCCCAACGCATGGCAAAGAGCACAAAGACCATGAACGTGGTCAAGAAGTTTCTGATACTGATGGGGTGAAGATTTTGATGGGGCTTCGTTTGGGGGCAAATGTCTGGCTTCGCTCTCTGCTGTACCTGGATAACAAGCACTCAGATATTCAGGTAGCAGTAGCTGACAATAGTGATGGGTAAGAAGTGGACCATCACCAAAATGATGATATACAGGGCACTGACAGACTGGGAAAAAGTGCAGGAATACACCCAGGGATCGTATTGCGGGGACTCCACAAAGTTGTTTGACACAATGGCCAGCAAAGTGAGTGCCCAGACCAGTCCCGTGTAGTACAGGATGTTGATGCTTGAAAAAAGCTTGTCATATCAGGCTGTGGCAGATGTAGCAGTAGTGGCTGATAGCAATGCCAGTGATGTTGAAGACTGACCCAGTGGTGCTCATACCCATCAGAAAGCCATTGATCTGGCAGTGGATGTAGCCCGTTACCCAACCATCATGTGAAAAAAATTCATCAGGACCAGTGGGTAAGGGTAGAAAGCCACAAGCAAGTCTGCAATGGCTAAGCTTACCACAAAGGCATTGCCTGTAGGGGAAGAGAAAGGGAAGTTAAAACTAGTACTTGTATTGCAACAGCCCACCCTGGAATCATGTTGTCTCTGGCTAAACAGAGCTACTTCAGTGATGTCTGCATACAGGCACTTCTGCAAGCATTGCTGGGACGGCTTTGGGGAGGGAAGCAGGAGGCTTCTAAATTATCCCTGGCTGTAGTGATGGGAAGGCTTCCTTGTGTTTTCACTCAGATATGCCTGCCACCATCATGTCTTCACACCCCTGCCCGGTTCATCACTGCGGTGTAGACTAGGAGTGGGTGAATTCCCTGTGACCTTGATGTAGCTGGAAGCTGGTCAGAAAGTGCCTGGCCCTGAAGGTTGTGCAACTTGGTATGATCCACTTTGCAAAACGTGTGCGCTGATAATGGCCTGGTATGACAGAGGGCTGTATTTCTCAGGGAAGGAAGGATTTTTTTCAGTTGTTTTTTGGAGAAATCCAGATCAAAATAAAGACTAATACCAAAGCACCCTTTCTGGGAATAAGCATTTCGGAGGAGAGCGGTGTTTGAATTGCTGGTAGAGCAATGTGGCATGGGCAGAAAATAATAAATACACAAATCTGTTTCCTGTCCTGCAGGAAGGATGTTCCCTGAGAGCTGGCAAGGATTTATTTTTTCTTATGGAGAAACTTACAGTACATTAAATTCCCAGGATGAGGAACTTTTTCTCCCCTCCCCACAAGCCTTGTTCAGACTCTAAATTTGCAAAAGGAAACTTGAGAGGAAAGGGAGTTAAACCTCTGTTTTCCTTGCAGATATGGCAGCACAGTGCTGCTCTGGGTGGCAGCTGATGCCCAAAGCAGATGATACCAACTTGGTTTGAAGTCAAGGGTTTGCATAAGCAGGCGGCACTAAGGTATGGAGCAGCAGGTCACTGTAACAAGGAGGTGGGTTTGAGCCCTCTCTGTGTGGGAGCAGAGCAGGGAGATGCAGGGGTTTGGCTTGAGTTGTGGAACGCACTCGAGTTTGCCGGTTGGAGATGCATCCCAGCTGATTCCACTGCTAATGGGCTTTGTTCTTTCACCAGCAGTTTCTTCTACTGGTTTTCTCGCTTGCTTCGGCTAATTGCAGCAGGATAAAAATGAGGGTTATTTGGAGCTATCTGCAGTCCTCCTTGCAGCATGGTACGCTGTGATGGTTTTGTAAATGAGGATCTGCAGATGTAAGAGTTCACTAGCAGCTTGTGTGCGGATGGGCACAGCAGCAAAGCTCCTGTGTCTCTGGTCTGTTTAGCAGTGGAATCGATGCAGACCAAACTGTGATGCTGGTCCAGCCAGCATTACAAGTGCCTTTAACAGAGACTCAAGGTTTTGCAAACTTTACACCACTGAAACAAAAGTCATCGAACCAGTCTCTCTGGCGTGGATGGCATTGCTTTCACTGAAAGGCCAGAAGTCAAAGGATGACCAAAGTTTCTACCTGCCACCATGTGCGGCACAACAAAATTTCACAGCTTGTATAATAACTGGGAGTACTTGGCATGACTCGAGCGCTCAGTGCCGTTAGTGACGGGACTGTGAATGCATGCAGAGCATGTAATAGTGTCTCTGTTAAAAGTACACAGAAGAGATGAGAGGCAGAAGAAGACAGGTATAAGGAACTTGTCAAAGGCATGTAAAGAGGAGCCAGGATTTGCCATCTCTGGATTAGGGCTGCAAGACAACTGAATCTGACATGCCACAGCTGCTCAGCAGTGCTGGCTTGTCCTCTCGTGAATAAAGGGACTGCAGGACAGATTTGGTCCTTGCAGGACGGATTGGCAATCCTTGCTTGGGAAAACTTGAGGGAAGAAGTTGAGTCCTGGGAACACCAACACTGCCTAGTAGGAGATGCAGAGTGGGGAAAGCTAAGGCAGGCGTTACTCTGTGCCTGCTTAACCCTTTCTCCTCTCCCCCAAGCTCCGATACCCTCCCAGGGGTTACCAGCCAGCCGAGTGGTTCCCCCACACCACGCTCCCCTCCATGCCGGGCCGGGACCACTGCACCTGGCCCAGAAGCCATGCAGGGCCAGCAGCTGCTGCTGTGCTTCAGACTGCATCTCCCTCCGAGGAGGAGGAGGGACAACCCATCCCTCCAAGCCCACCCCACAGATTTGGCAGCCCTTAGGGCTCACCTGCCGCCTCCTTCCTGCCCAGAGGAAGCCCCGTCCCCCCAGGGCACTTCCCAGCAGCGTTCCTCTACATGGGGCCGGCCCGGAAGGCCGCCCTTGGTGCTGTGAGGCTGCAGGACCCTGCGGCTGGGTCCCACTGTGATGGGGGGTGGGGAACGTGTTTCGAGGCTGTGGTCGGCCCTTCCCACGAGCCAGCTGCCGCTGCGATGAGGCCTTGTGGCTGTCACGAGGCTCTGACTTGTGGGGCCCTCGGGGCTGAGGTTAGTCAGACTTTGGAGGCTGCTCCCGCCCCGTGTCCACCCTCTGCTGTCTCTGTGACTATAGCTAATGACATCACTGACGCTCAGAGCATAGTTGCGCTTTAGTGATGTCATCGGCTGTGGCCGCATTAATTATGTGGAGGCTAGAGGCTGTTGGG